CATGTTCCTGGGATCTGGATCAGTCCCATGCTGGTATCCCAGCTATTATCAGTCTGGGTAGCAAGAGTTCCCTGATGTTCAGGTCAGCTGTTTCTGTGGGTTTCACCAGCCTGGTCTGGACCCCTTTGCTCTTCACTCGTCCTTCTCTGCATCTGGATTCCAGGTCAGTTCAGTGATTAGCTGTGGGTGTCTGCTGCTGCTTCCACCAGCTGCTGGATGAAGGCTATAGGATGGCATATAAGTCAGTCATCAATCTCATTATCAGGGGAGGGCATTTAAGGTAGCCTCTCCTCTGTTGCTAGATTGTTAGCTGGTGTCATCTTTGTAGATCTCCAGACGTTTTTCCCTAGTGCCTGATTTCTCTGTAAACCTAAAATATTTCCCTCTATTATGGTATCTCCATTCTTGTTATCTTCTATTCTCCCCCTGACTCAACCTCTCTGTTCCCTCATGTCCTCCTCCCCCCTCCTCTTCTCCCCTTCTCATTCTCCTAGCTCTCTCCCCTCTTCCTTTGCACCCAATTTGCTCAGGGGATCTTGACCCTTTCCCCTTCTCCAGGGGACCATGTATGTCTCTCTTAAGGTCCTCCTTGTTTACTAGCTTCTCTGGCAGTGTGGATTATGAGGGAGTAAATACCATGTTTGTCTTTTTGTGATTGGGTTACCTCACTCAGAATGGTTTCTTCTAGTTCCATCCATTTTCCTGCAAATTTCAAGATTCCATTTTTTTTTTCTGCTGCGTAGTACTCCATTGTGTAAATGTACCACATTTTCTCTATCCATTCTTCGGTTGAGGGGCATCTAGGCTGCTTCCAGTTTCTGGCTATTACAAATAGTGCTGCTATGAACATGGTTGAGCAGATGTCCTTGTTGTATGAATGTGCTTCTTTTGGGTATATGCCTAAGAGTGGAATTGCTGGATCTTGTGGTAGACTGATTCCCATTTTCTTGAGGAGTCGCCATACTGGTTTCCACAGTGGCTGTTTGAGTTGGCGCTCCCGCCACAGTGGAGGAGTGTCCCCTTTCTGGATCCGGGGTCATTTTTAAGTTAACTACTCCATATTAACAAGTTCAGCTTCAAAAAAAAGGATTTAAATTACAGTTAAAAGAAAACTAGTTTATGATACTATTTCTTTGTGCCACCCACTTACTGTCATAAACTTTGATAGAAAACTGTACTTTGTAAACTAGTAAGAAGCAGGAACAATTGGTAATAGCATAAACACCAACAATTAGCTGAGCAGTCATTCATTAACTGAAGCATTACCAGTAACTGGAAAGTCATCTCTATTAAAAGTTGGACTAAAGATGAGGTTTAGCGTTCTTCTCCTTAGTGTTGTTGAAATTGTTGACTCTAAACTTTTATTAGCTTATATTTCAAAGCAGTTTTTGAAAGGAACACGTCAAAACAGTTTTGAAATTGCTGTATTATCTCCAGGTCATTGTTTTGTATGTGTAGAACTAATATGTTTGACCCAAGACACTCATAAATGAGGAGCAATGATTTAAATCTAATACTCTGAAAAGGAAAATCATTGTATCATCTTTAGGAATCTGTTTCATATGCTGTCTGCAGCTACAGTAAGTGTCTTGTTATTTACTGACATTTTACTGTATCTACTTAAAAGTTTATAATGAGATGTCATAGAAATCCAGCTCCTCTCTTACTGTATTAGATACCATGCAGAGCAGAGTACATTGTGTGCAAGCACGCGCACACAGACACACACACGCACGCACGCACGCACACACACACATTTGCTCGCACACAATGCATCGGCCACATAACTGGACCACATACAAGCCAGCCAGAGTTTAATGCTTACTCTATTTTATATAGTTTACTGGCCTTTCCTTTCCCTGTGTGTGCCGGATGAAAGTATCAATAGCACAATGGAGCAAACGCTGTCTTTGTCCTATAATCCTCTCTTTCATAGCCACTTCCACTGCAAGTCTGGTTTCCCATTTGTACTGATCCTCACAGTGGTCACCTTTGGAGATCATCTGAGTTGTTCTTATTTCCTAAAACAACAACAAAACCCCATGTGTTCTTATTTCCAGCAGGAGCATTTAATGAAATAGAACTTGGCAGATTGTATACTATCAGATCGGTTTCATTTGCCTTTTTAAAATTAGAATTCTTCTTACATTTACTGATCTGAGGCACTGTGAAGCACTCTTTGTTCAGTAACTGACTCCCCTTCCCACTGACAATGATGCAGGAGTTTCTTGTTCCTTTTTGGTGCTGGAAAGTGTCAAGTTGTTGCCCTTAAAAATATGTGAGAGCTGAGGTGAGAAATCCATTATGCCGCTATAAAAATCTGTGTGAACAAGTATTTTTCCTTTCCCCATCCACCATCTCCTCTGGTGCTAGAATGCTAACAGTGAATTTAAGTCAACTAATGAAACTTTGTTCTTAATTTATTCAAAACTGGAAATTAATTTGTCATCAAAGAATGTGACTGACAGTGAATATATAAGACCTGTGAATACAGAAAATGGATATATAACAACGTACTATATTTTCTCACAAAAAAAACATGTTGAAAACTATCAATAAATTGCCATAATGTATTTTCTCTGCTATTTACATTTCCTAGGGCATTTTAATTTGATTTCTAGTAAAGACAAAACCATGTTGCTTTGGAATTTGATTTCTAGTAAAGACAAAACCATGTTGCTTGGAATGTATTCCTTGTGACATAGAGGAAGCAGTGAACTCTGGAGACAAACCATAATCCCACAAGACCATGATCATGGGAGCCTTCAAGAGGGGCAGGATAGGCCAGACCCAAGAGGTTCACTCAAGAAACCCATTACTTGTCACATTAGAGAACGCTTCCTGAAAAGGTGTAAATGAGACAGAGAAAGTGTAGGAACTGTGAAGATTCCTGATTGAATTGCCCATGTATCTGTCCCAACCCTGGTACATGAACACTATCATAGAGAAGTTACCCACTACTACAGAAAGTCCAGATTCAGCTGTCCTGGAATAAAAGATGGACATAAACCATCACGTACGAGTGCTGTGACTGGTCAACCCTGAGTGTATCTTGTTGATGTCACTGCCTTTCTAAGACAGACTTAGAGATCATCAGGACCATTCCTTACCTCTGAGATGCAGGTTGAAACATTTTAACTTGTAGTAAAGCTTGGCATTTGGGTTTAAGTTTCACAAGTATATTACAGAATTAAGGTCTGACGTTCACAGTACAGGCAGTATCTTACACATAGTAGGTGCTCAAGACCGTGCAGTGAGTAAGTAACTTACTTTGAGTAAGTAACAGGGTCTTTTGAACTCTTAGAAATACTGGTTACAATGTTTTTTCTTTTACTGACATTTTTATTTGAACTTTTGCACCAGAGTTGTTCTGGCCTAGTATTACATTTTTTTGAACATTTTTAAAATTTAAATTAGAAACAGTCTTACTTTTTGTATCAATCCCAGTTCCCTCTCCCTCCCATCCTCCCATGACACCCACCGAACGCCCCCCATCCCATTTCCCATCCATTCCCTAGGGACAGTAAGACCTTCAATAGGGGATCATCAAAGTCTGACACATCATTTGGGGCAGGGCCTATACCCTCCTCAATGAATTTAGGCTGAGAGAGTATCCCTCCATGGGTGAATGGGCTCCCAAAGTCCATTCATGCACTAGGAATAAGTGCTGGTTCTACCACAAGAGGCCCCATAGACTGCCCAGGTCTCCTAACTGTCACCCAAGCTCAGGGGCCTGGTTCTGTACTATGCTGGTTCCTCAGCTGTCTGGCTGGGGTCCATGAGCTCCCACTTGCTCAGATCAGCTGTTTCTGTGGGTTTCCCTAGACTGGTCTTGACCCCTTTGTTCATCACTCCTCCCTCTCTACAACTGGATTCCAGGAGTTCCGCTTAGTGCTTAGCTGTGGATCTCTGCTTCCATCAGCTACTGGGTGAAAGTTCTAGGATGGCATTTAGGGTAGTCATCAGTCTCATTATAGGGGAAGGGCACTTAAGATAGTCCCTCCACTATTGCTTAGATTCTTAGTAGGGGTCATCCTTGTGGATTTTTGGACATTTCCCTAGTGTTGGATTTCTCTTTAAAGCTATAACGGCTCCCTCTATTATGTGTCTCTTTTCTTGCTCTCCTCTATTCATCTCAATCCTCCTGATCCCCCATGTTCTCCTTTCCCTCCTTCTCTCCCCTCCTCTTCTCCCCTCTTCTTTCTGGTTACATTTTATTCTTTGTGATTTCATTATGTAGCATGGTCTGATTGGTCATGGGACTTTTCATTTTTGAGATACAGTGTGTGTAAAAAGTAAAGACATAAAGTTGTCTACCATGAAAATGTTAGAACTTACTTATCTATTACCTGCAATACTGCACACAGGTGATAGGAACTTCATGGCTCTTCAGAAAAGAGGTTTGGAGCATAGATAACCCAATGTTAGCATTTTTCAAGACCTTAACATAAAGGAAGGCCAGACAAATAGTAAAAGAATACCTTTGAAATAATATGGTACAGACCCATGGCTTTAATCTCCAAAACTTCAAAAACCTGTGAAGTAATTGTGTTCTTCGATAGCAGAATAGTCTGACCTTTGCCCCGGATGGCGGATTGGGTGGGATGTAGTGTTCATAGATTAATTGGCCAGGATGGCAAGCTGGCCATCAGTTTTTAAATAGCATAAGCATTCTTTGTAATATATGGTAATACCAACATTTTTAAACAGTCTAGGAGACTGTTTAGGAGACATTCTAGGAGATAATTTTGAATAGTGAAATCACTACAGATAAGATGGCTGGGGGAAAGAGACTAATTTGGCAACTGTATTAATTTCTAAACCCTTGAGACTCATGCTATCAACACAATACTGTTGCTGGCCGAACTTCCCCTCCTTGCTTTGGTTTTTCTTGGGCAAAGCAGGGTGATGAGCAAATTTAAAGATTTGCTCACAATTTATTCATGCTCAAACATTGGTTTATTTCTGTCCTGACTATGAAATGTTTGGTTTGACTTCAGGGACACGACGGTGCAGACTCTGACCCTTCAGCCCTCAGTTAAGGATGGACTGATTGTGTATGAAGACTCACCTCTGGTCAGTAAGCCAATGAAACAAATGGTTTAAAGTGTGTTTTGATTGTACCTATACCTCAGCCTATGGATGGGTTAGTTATCTGAATTGAGCACAGACATGCATCATTTTAGATGCAAGCTTCTGTCTGATTGGAGTACATGTCTGTATCATTTTATATGTTCTTCTCTACCAAAATGAACTGATTGGGAAAATAAAACATGTTCTCTTGCTGCACTTCTGTCCTGAGTGAGAGGTTCAGGGACTGGCCAGAATCCTCTGCTTATTTTCTGAGGCCTTTTTAAAGTCTGTTGTTGTTCTAAACTAACAGAACATTAACTCAGTGTTTTGGGAAGCTGAGAAGACCTAACTCCCACTTGAGACTCAAATGGAAGCCTGGCCACAGAGCTGCTCAGCAGGCAACCTTCCTGGAGCTGCTGTGGTCCAGGCCCCAAGGCTGGGGACTTCGGGGTCTGTGCCAGAAGGCTCCAAGATGGATCCCAGTTATTCCCTGAACAGAGATGTATTAGGGGTAGGAACCACATCCTTTATTTTTTTCAATTTAGCTCATTTTTACCCTAAATTCAAAAAGTCCTCATCAAGTCTTTGAGAATACAGTATGAAATATTGTGACAATAGGAAGCATTCTTTACCAATTTGTTTCGTTAAAATCTTAGTTAACTCTGTGTGGTGAGAGCAATTTATGATATGGTCCACTAGGTTGTGAGTTATTAATTAGTATCTCTTTTAGATAGAAATTATAGATTTATGTTGAAATGTATAGAGTATCTGCTGCCTGCCTCGTTTTATGGAGAGGCCTAGCAAGGACAGGTTAGGCCTAGCCTTCATCCATCTTCTCTTGTCACCATCCACATGGTTACCCAAGACCTGGAACACTTGCCTTCCTTTCTCCCTTCTTCCAAGCAGCCTATAGATTATGCCTCTCCACAAGATCGTTCTAATACTTGAATTTTTCCATGCCTACTCCAATCGCTATCCCAAACCGTCATTCTGTGTTCATCACCCTGAAGTGTAGCTCAGCGCACCGTTTTCATCATGCTGTAATTCACACATGTGTAGTTATGTCCCATTACTTGATGAGGTGAAGTGCCTATTTCCTGGTCTGGCAACCCTTTGCAGTAGAAACCCAATCTACCTTGCTGTGTCTTTTTTTACATCTACTGTCCTAGAGACATCATAGGCTCGCTATGTTCACTCTTCCCCAAATGCAGTTTGACCATCCATTTTCCTTGAATGCCCACCACCTCTGATGAAACTGTAACAATATTTGAAGACCCATAACAAGCAGTTTTCCAAAATGCACAGTGACTGTCACATCTAACTCCTCCCCACCGTCTGTGGCACTTCATCTATTTATTTAACTCCTTCAAATCTCCCCCGGGTCTAGGGTGGGAAATGTTGCAGGGAATGGCTCTAACACTGAGAAGAAAATGCAAAACTTGCTCTTGTGTTTTAGTAACTGTGTGATGCTTCTGTTGCTTACAGACAGCTGTGGCAAATTCAAAGCAGTGAGTGACTGACTTTTAATAATGATGACTTTGCTTCTTTTGTTGCTCATGATAAATTTTCTGTCTTCAAAGGTTAAAGCGGTAAAGATGGGTCATATTCTAGTAGTAGATGAGGCAGACAAAGCCCCAACAAATGTCACCTGTATTCTGAAAACTCTGGTAGAAAACGGAGAAATGATTCTAGCAGATGGAAGACGCATTGTAGCACGTAAGTAGTAAAAAGCCACATTCTCCTTCACATGTGTAACTTTTGTATCTCTAGTATGTACAATTTTTGTATCGCTAGTATCTCTAGCTCTCTCCTATAAACAAGCAATAAGCTGAAGTTCATTGCAAATTAAGTTGTACTGACAATCATTTCTAAAAAATAACATCTAAATCTAGCCTTGCTGGTTTCAGGATTTTGTTTGTTTTTTGGTTTGGTTTGGTTTTGGTTTTGGTTTTTTGGACTTGTTTCTATTTTTGGTTTTGGTACTGAGAGTAGAATTGGAGCTTTAATCATGGAATCAGATGCTCTGTCACTAATCCACACCCACAGCCCCTAATTTCCCTTTTCTGTGATCAGTCTTTAGAAAGTGAGAAAAATCAGCTTTATACTTTTCTACCCTGAAAATGTCAGCTCTGAATCTTTATACCTGTTTTTCAAATATTTGTGTGTATTTCTATTATCAAATTGCTATCTTGAAATTTTAGGAACTCTAACCTGATTCTCTTGCTCACAGTATTAAAACTTACTTTATTATTGACTCAGTACAATTCAAAATCACTGAATGTGGGCTGGAGAGATGGCTCGGTAGTTCAGAGCTCTTGCTGCTCTTCCAGAGGACCCAGGTTCCTTTCCCAGAACTCACCACCATCTGTAACTCCAGTTTTCAAGGGATCCAGTGCTGTCTCCTGGCCTCCACTGGCACACATGTAGTGCACACATTCAAGCAAAATGCTGTACACATAAAAATCATTGGATGTTTTATTTAATTTGTGTGTATGTATATACACATGTATATATGTGCATATATACATACATATATATACATATCAGGAAGAAGTTATTCTCTGCTTTGGATTTTCTTTTCTTCCTTCCCAAACACAGAAATACTATTCTTTTAGTGGAGGAAGGAAAATAAGTCTCATAGGTATTGTCTTAGTTAAGATTTCTGTTGCTTTGATAATACAGCATGGTCACAAGCAACTTTTGGAAGGAAGGTTTATTTTAGCTTAAAGCTTCTAGCTTACAAATCTCGAGTCACATTCTGTCACTGAAGGAAGTCAGGCAGGAACTAAGTAGAGACCGTTGAGGAAGTCACTTACAGGCTTGCTCCTCAGAGCGTGCTCACCTTGCTTTCTTATATGCCCAGGACCCACTGCTTAGGAGTGGCATCACCCACAGATGACTGCCCTGACACATCAATCATTAACCAAGGAGATGCCCCCCAGACTTGCCCACAGGCAGTCTTATGGAGATATGTTCTCCATTGAGTGAGGTTCCCTCTTCCCAGCTGACTCAACCTTCTTTCAAGTTGACCAAAAAACCAAGACAAAGCCTAGCCAATCCAAGTATATTTAACTGCAGGCAATTTAAGTTTTCCAAACATGTGTAAGATCCTGATTTCAATTTTTTTGTCTCATGAAAATTTATGACTAGCCATAGAAAATACATAGCCTCTACCATAAAAACAGTACTAAAATCTTAAATATTTGAAGAACATATATAAAGAGGGCCCAATTAGAAAGGTCAGCATGGTAGAGGTGTTCCTCTTTGATGTTATTACAGGGTCACCTCTCTGGGATCTACCTAGCACCATTAACAGCTTTCTGAACATCTTACTTTCATAGTTTATGGAAAAGGGGACTTTACCTTAGCCTGAGAAGTGTCTCTTCACAGGGTCCCTTACACTCTCAAGGCCTAGAGCTCGGCCTGATCCTTTGTTCTAAAGGTTATAGCACCACAAAGATGGTGCAACAAGAAGAAAGCAGGGACTGCCTAAACAGAAGCTGTGATCACGCTCTGGCTGTGTCTGGCCCTCTGTGTCTTCGCCTGGGATTTTGAAGGATAGCTTAGAAGGAGAACATAGTAATTTTCCAGCTCCAGTGTGATTTTTCTGGTCCTTTGGATTGAGTGAGAGCCTCACTGTGTTAATCGTATGTCCTACACAGCCTTGCGTAGATGACCAGTGAGTCAGGAATGCCTGAAGATGTTTGGAGCAGTTTACAAACTACCTGTTTCATTTTTCAGATGCTGCCAATGTGGATGGAAGAGAAAACGTAATCGTGATCCATCCTGACTTCAGGATGGTGGTTCTGGCCAACAGGCCTGGCTTCCCTTTCTTGGGCAATGACTTCTTTGGCACTTTAGGTAAAAATAATGACTATAATAATAACAATAATAATTTCAGCAGCAATGCTAGAGTGGCTGCTATTGCTCTGCATGGGCTGTGATTCCATCATAGCCACCTCAGGAGGGAGAGAGTTTTTGATACTCACAGGGGTTATTTTTCTGCAATCACCTAGCTAATGAGTGGTAGAGCTAGGCTGCGAGCTGGACTGCATGTCTATGTCTGACTCACCGCCTCTCTTCTTAAGTAGTTGCACTGACTTTGCTTTTTAATGCTCTATAATGAATGGCTGTCAGAGTCTACTTCTATAACCTCCTCTAAAAAGTCTGAGGCCAACTGTGCCAGGGACTGGTTCCTACTGAGTAGGGAGGCCCTGGAGGATGTATCATCATCATCATCATCACCACCATCCTCAGCCATGCAGGAGGATTCCTCTTTGCTGGAATCTCATGCACAGTAGAAAGCAGGCCCAGGTTCCTGTTAGGAATTTGATCTGACAATTCCACATAAGGGATTTGTCCCACTGGGTTTACCTATGTAGCCACTTGAGCACGAGGATAGTCAGCACAGCATTGTGTATAATAACCAGAATGAGAAGAACCCACTGCCTCTCCAAAGGAGACCAGATAAAGAAATTCTGTGTCCGGACAATAGAGTAGTGTGCCGCTATTAAGAGAAATGAGATAAGTAATACTAGTATGCTGAAATGAAAATCAGTCCTTGAGACATTTACTGAAACAATAAGTCATGGAAATGAGTACGGTAGTCAATACATTTTAGAAGAGACAGATGTAAACTATGGGCTCACTTACACTATTTCTTGAGTTTTGTTTGGATCCCTGCATTACTACTGCTCTTCAAATGTGCTCATGTGTGAACACTCTAGTGCAAGCCTAGTTTTCTCTAGTGTGGAAAGGTATAAGTTCTTTTCGGGTTCAGGTTCCTCACAGCCACTGTCACCCCAAGGCTCTGCCTTTTACATTCATTCTAAAACCTACAATGATGCTCATTGTCCATTCTGTCTCTGTCTGCCAGCACCATGTGTTACAGTCATTCTCATTCCTGACGGCTCTTTTTTCCCTGCCACCCGTTCCAACCCTCTTCCTTCCCCTCTTCCATCTTCCTCTTTCCTTTCCACTCTACTCCCCCCTCTCCCCACAGTGGTTGCTGGACAGCTTTGGTCTTCTAAATCCCTGACCGCTTGGCACCTTAGATTTTTTTTTTTTTTTTTAAGACAGGGTCTCTCTGTTTACCTACTTTTTTGAAAGCTACTGTTAGAAACTCTCAACAGCGGTTTGTGTTCAGAAGTTGCAGTTCCAACATCCATTTCTTCTTCAACCCTCTCAAGTCAGTTCTAATTAGATCTTGCCTGAATCACCCAACAGAAGCAATTCTTGACTAAATTACTGGGGCCATTTTCATGACTAAACACAGTGATGGGCTTCCTGGCTATGTCTTAAACCATCAGTAGTGTTTAGGACAGTAGCCACAATCAGTCACTTTCCTGTCCTCACTTAATGTCTGGTCCTGCCTCAGTGCTTTCTGGGCTTCTTCCCACACTGATGACCATTCCACAGTTTCTTCATTGACTCCTTCATAGAATGTTCTGGTGTTCCTTTATCTATCTACCCTCATTCCCTTGGTAAAAATCAAAGCGTGTCATTTCACAGTATCACTTAAGTAACTGTTATTGCCATGAATTTTCCCTGGGGCCAGACTCTCCAGTTCCCTGTTGAACACTTACTTACAACTTACCTGTTATTAAGACCTTAACTTAGATCTAATAATCCCACAGTATGAGGAATTACTGAATGGATTTTTCTTTTTTTTTCCATTTTTTTATTTGAATTAGAAACAAGATTGTTTTACATGTCATTCCCAGTTCCCTCTCCCTCCCCTCCTCCCCTACCACCCCTCCCCAACTAAAACCCTACCTATCACATACCCTTTCGGCTCTCCATGGAGGGTGAGGCCTTCCATAGGGGGTCTTCGGAGTTTGTGATATCCTTTGGGATAGTGCCTAGGCCCACCTCTGTGTGTCTTGGCTCAGGGAGTACCCCTCTGTGTGGAATGGGTTCCCAAGGTCCACACCTATGCTAGGGATAAGTACTGATCTGCTACAGGAGGCCCCATGGATTTCCGAGGTCTCTTCACTGACACCCATGTTCTTGGGGTATGGATCAGTTCCCTGTTGGTTTCCCAGGTATCAGTCTGGGGAACAAGAACTCCCCGTTGTTCATGTCAGCTGTTTCTGTGGGTTTCACCAGCCTGGTCTGGACCCCCTTTGCTCATCACTCTAATTCACTTCAGTGATTAGCTGTGGGTGTCTGCTTCTACTTCCACCAGCTGCTGGGTGAAGGCTATAGGGTGGCATATAAGTCAGTCATCAATCTCATTATCAGGGGAGGGCATTTAAGGTAGCCTCTCTTCTGTTGCTTGGATTGTTAGCTGGTGTCATCTTTGTAGATCTCCAGACATTTTCCTAGTGACTGATTTCTCTTTAAACCTATAATGTCTCCCTCTATTATGGTATCTCTTAATTTGTTTTCCTCTGCTCTTCCTCCGACTCAACCTTTCTGCTCCCTCATGTCCTCCTCCCCCCTTCTCTTCTCCCCTTCTCATTCTCCTAGCTCCCTCTCCCCTACCCCCATGCTCCCAGTTTGCTCAGGAGATCTTGTCCCTTTCTCCTTCTCCAGAGGACCATGTGTGTCTCTCTTAGAGTCCTCCTTGTTTCCGAGCTTCTCTGGCGTTTGGATTGTGGGCTGGTAATTCTTTGCTCTATGTCTAAAATCCATCTATGGTAGGGGTAGGGGAGAGGGAGCTAGGAGAATGAGAGGGGGAGAAGAGAAGGAGTGAGGAGGACATGAGGGAGCAGAAAGGTTGAGTCGGAGGAAGAGCAGAGGAAAACAAATTAAGAGATACCATAATAGAGGGAGACATTATAGGTTTAAAGAGAAATCAGTGAGTACGTGCCCTGTTTGTCTTTTTGTGATTGGGTTACCTTGCTCAGAATGGTTTCTTCTAGTTCCATCCATTTGCCTGTGAATTTCAAGATTCCATTGTGTTTTTTTTTTTCTTATCCATTCTTCAATTGAGTGGTATCTAGGATGCTTCCAGGTTCTGGCTATTACAAATAATGCTTCTGTGAACATGGTTGAACAGATGTCCATGTTGTATGAATGTGAATCTTTTGGGTATATGCCTAAGAGTGGAATTGCCAGATCTTGTACAAACCTTGCTTCTTATCAGGTGTTTGGTCCAAGTGGTGAGAAAGCTGTTAATGGTGCTACGTAGATCCCCTTTAATCCCCTTGATTTATGATAGTAACTCCATCCTTCTTGACAGCAAATTTTTTTTCTTGACTTTCCTTTCTTGTACATGTCTTACCATCTACCAGGAAATCTTACTGGCTCATAAAATACATTCAAAATTATCTCACCATCACCAACATTGGCCACCATTTTAGTTGGGGCAACCACCTTCTCTCATCTTGATTATTTATAATAATGAAGATGATGATGATAGGTTAATTTATGGGTTTCTTGTTTCTTCCCCTGTCTGTGGTCATGGTCTGTGAAGAATCTAAGATTTTACCCTTTTGCCTAATAAATTAGCCTGCCACAATTTCATGTCAGGAAACACCAGACCCTGGGTCAAAAGCAAAGGAAGGATTATGTCTCCTGATGAAAGCGGTAGTAAAAAAAAAAAAAAAAAAAAAAAAAAAGAGAGAGAGAGAGAGAGAGAGAGAGAGGGAAGGAAGGAAGGAAGGAAGGAAGGAAGGAAGGAAGGAAGGAAGGAAGGAAGGAAGGAATAAAGCTGGCCAGTACTACGGAGTGATGACCAGAGGAGAGAAGTGATCACAGTCAGCTTTGGTTAATGTCAGACCATCAGACCCTATCTCAAAACATTTTTTTAAAACAATCAGCCGTCAGTGAGTGGGCATTTGAGCTGGTTGTTCAAGCCCCAGTTCCCCCAGGACAACATGAAGGAAGCTACCCAGCCCCTGCACTTGTGGTGGAATACTGTGCAGAAGGAGCTGAGCTTAGGGAACATCTGCAATAAGCATGCCTAACCATGTTCCAGACAGACTACCTTCCAAAGCTGGTGCATTGTAACCTTCTTGGAGGACAGTTTGGTCAGAGCCTCTTCTAGCAAAACGAACAGCACTGCTGTCAACCCATGGATGGGTGTTTGTTGCCCTACACAGCAATTCTTGACCTGTGGGTCACAACCCCTTTGGGAGCGAATGACCATTTCACAGGGGTTACCTAAGACCAACCGAAAACACAGATATTTACATTATGACTCATAACAGTAGCAAAATTAGTTATGAAATAGCAACGAAAATGGTTTCTCTACAGCATGAGTTTGAGAACCACTGACCTACACCCTTCATAGTCTGTTCTTGACAGCAGTCTAGTACTCTGGTAGAAATCCCCCTGGCTGCCTGTTTCTCTCTGTGCATAGACTCATCTCTCAGATTCCAACATCCTTTGTGATGTTTCCCATATCCTGTCTCCAACTTTCCTGCCTCACTCTTTTATACTTGCTTTAGAGTCTTTGCTTTAGCTGTGTTAACCACCTAGTATGTCCTTCCGCATAGCTATATATTCTCAGACTTGACCTTCTCAATGAGGCCCACATGACTGCCCTCTCCCAGGACTTCCACTGTCATATACTGTAACAGAATATAATTAGCAGAATATGAGCTCCACAAGGATGGGGATTTTTAAATCATATATATATATATATATATATATATATATATATATATAT